ATCAAAACTGTTTTTGTTTTTTTAATATTAGTCTTTTTCACTACCTAAGGGTGAGTAACACAGTTGTCAAATGTTTACAAGTAAAAATGTAAGTTTTAAGCAAACTAATATACTTGAAGAGGAGCCTCAATGTCACCTGTTAATTGCCTGTCTAATTGTGCCATTAATTTTGATTTTTGTGGTTGCAGAAGACGCAAAAAGAGAAACTAACAAATTAACTGATGACCAATGCTTTGATAAGTCAAATAGGTCACCACATTATCCACACTTGCTTTTGAGAAATCTTTCTTGACTGGTAAACTTGACTGCATGGAGAAGCTTTCATGTTCTAAATGTGTGCATCATAATTTTTTGCTTGTAGTTAAGATGCATGGTGCATATATTTTATTTAATCAATATTATTTATCATATTATTTATCGTTGATGCTTCGTCAGGGGTGTTGATATTCTAAAGCGACCAGCAAGAGCAGGAGAGAGGCCGTGGGATTGCTATAAAGGCACATCAGTAGTGTGTGTACCAGTTCACTATGTTTTGGCGTACATTAACTCACTGGAATGCAGAGGAGAATGGGATGATCTTTTTCTAAAAGGTATTTTTCCAGAGGAATAATTAACAATTATTCACGGAAGTGGAGGTAATTATCCCCCACTTTCACTGACACTGAGGTGAATAATTGTTTTAGTATATACCACACAAGCTGAATAACTAGCAGACCAAAGAGTAACTTTACTTGTGACAATATACCGACAAATGGTCAGACAAAAAAATTCGTGCGCCGTGCGATGCTTGGAGGTGAATAGTACTTGGCTAATCACCTCCGAGCTAGCCAATCAGCCTGTGCAAAAAGTACTATTCACTTGTGTGGTATATACTAATTTTGGAGAGTGTGAAGGAACTAATACATTTTATATGTCAAACAAACCAGACGTCCTCATCTTACTGAAATTATTAAAGTCAAAGTTGTAAGGGCTCTTCGTATGAGCTCAGTAACCACACTAGCTGAGTTGGTGATCAGGATGAATTTTGTTGTCTGTTCATGTGGAAGATTTTACCTAGTCGACAAGGATGGAATTCAAGAAACAAAACCAATAAGGTGCCACATAAAGTTGTATCATCTGTTACTATTGTAGCTTTGTTGACTCCTCAAACTTTACTGATAAAGCTAATTTGCATACTTCCAAAGTGGAATACATACAACGCAAAAATATGCCATTTTGACAGCTGCAGCTATGCTGCAAAGGCAAAGCCATTTAGTCAAAAAGTTTCCTCCCAGGTTGGAGGTTTCATATAGGAAAATTTTCATCCCAGTCACCAAGATCTTGGTACCAAGATCTTGGTTACTGAGCTGGCCCACCTCACATGAACACATCGAAAACAGGAGAGGCGAGATCTCAGTAACAAGGCAAGCCCAGTCAACTGGGCTCATACGAAGATGCCCAGACTCTATCAAGTAGCCCTCTCTGAAATAAGCCCGTCCTGTCTGTTTGAAACAAGAAATTAGCCCCCCTTCTTGGTTTCTTCCATAACCTTAGCAACAAACGTCAGACTTTCCAGGCAATGCATTTATACTGTACTAATCCATGTACAAATTAACATACAGTATTTGCAAGCTATGGGGGAAAAACATTGTCGGTACTTGTACTCAAAAAGAATATAAAACACTTTGTTGATCAAAGAGACTCACAAAATAAGAGTGTTATACTGATGAACTACCTGAATCTGGCTTTAAATCAACCAAGCGCCTTGTCTATTAAGCCAACACTCCCTCAAACTGAAACAAGTTTCAAATAAATAAGCGCTTCCCCCCTTCCCCCTCCGCCAGGGCATATAGAAGATTTATGGTAAACAATTTCATTTGTTAGCTTTTTTAACCTGTTTCAGACTTGGCAAAACAAACAAGTAATAATTACAGTTGTGGGTGGAAAAGCGTCAGAATTAAGTTGCAGGAAATAAAAAAAAAATAGAGACTACAAGTACATACATACATACACGCATACATACACGCATACATATGTTTATTTGATAAGTAGGTTTAAAATAAGCAACTGTACAGCTGATGTGGACCTACTACTACTAAATCTAAATAAGAGAAACAAAAATTTACAATACAATTGTCATAAAACTAAAATAATATATACAATAACGATAAAAAGAGTAAGTAGGAATTGGCCTACTGGTATGAGCAAAACAAACCACATTTCTCAAATAGTAATCTAAAGTTTATTTGAATTCTGCTACAATCTTTCTTGTATATCATCTACTAATGTCTTTTTGTAATATGTCATACTAGTTAATCAAACTTGTGATTACATTTACTTTCTGGCATTCCAGTGCTATTCCATTATATGGTTACTGATTAATAATATATTTTGATTTTTACGCATGTAAAAACTGCATGTATAAAAATCAAAATATGTAATTTCAAATTCAGAGTAATGCACAAGAATATTACAAGAAGAAATTGAAGAAACTCATCATACAAAAAAAAAAATGTGATTAACAGAATCAATAATACACATATCATACCTTATTACATGAAATTTTCGCGACACGTTAATTTCGCGATTTTGAGGTTCGCATATTTCGCGACACCTTAATTTCGCGATTTTGCGAAAATTTT